TACAAGAGTAGTCAGGCAGGCCGGGTCGGTAGCAAACGGGCAAACGGAGTACCAGGAGCAGGCGGGAGAGTGGTCAGGACTAGCCGAGGTCAGTACAGGCAGAGTTCAGGCAGCGTCAGGACAGAAGTAACAGGATCAGGAAACCAGGGCCAAGCAAACAGTACAACAGGCACAGACTGCAGGTCTGGCCATCCCTTAAATACAACCCCTGCAATCAGCTTCAGGTGTTTGGCTGACTGCAGGGGTGAGTCTCTGATTGCTGAGAGCCCACAAGGCAGGTGAGTCCCACCATTATTGGCAAGTCCATTCCTGACAGTAGTGCTACTACATGATTGTCTTTCATTTCTTCACCTATTGCACCCAGCTGGTCCACAATTTCTAGCATGGCATTTACATGTTCACCCATTTCCTGCCCTTTTTCCAGCCTCATCTTAAACAGTTTGCGCAGCAGATATAGTTTACTGTTTAGGTTTGCACGTTCATGTAGTTTTTGTAATGCAGTCCACATACAGTTGCAAGAAAAAGTATGTGAACCCCTTGGGATTACGTGGAGTTTTGCATGAATTGGGCATAAAATGTGCTCTGAATGTCATCTAAGTCACAACAATAGAAGAACACAGTCTGCTGAACATAATACTACACAAACATTAGATGTTGCCATGGTTTAATTGCACATAACATGTAAACATTCACAGTGCAGGGAGGAAAAAGTATGTGAACCTTTGGACTTAATAACTGGTTGACTCTCTTTTGGCAGCAATAACCTCAACCAAACGTTTCCTGTAGTTGCAGATCAGACCTGCACAACGATCTGGAGTCATTTTGGACCACTCCTCTTCACAAAACTGTTTCAGTGTAGCAATATTCTTGGGATGTCTGGTGTGAATCGCTCTCTTAAGGTCATGCCACAGCATTTCAATCGGGTTGAGGTCAGGACTCTGACTGGGCCACTCCAAAAGGCGTATTCTGTGCTGTTGCAGCCATTGTTTTGTTGAATTACTTGTATGCTTTGGGTCATTGTCCTGTTGCATCACCCATCCTCTGCGGAGCTTCAGTTGGCGGACAGATGGTCGTACGTTTCCCTGCAAAATGTCTTGATAAACTCTGGAATTCATTTTCCCATCAATGACAACAATCCGTCCAGGCCCTGAGGCAGCAAAGCAGCCCCAAACCATGATGCTCCCTCCGCCATGTTTCACAGTGGGGATGAGGTTTTGATGTTGGTGTGCTGTGCCTTTTTTTCTCCACACATAGTGTTGTGTGTTCTTCCCAAACAACTCAATCTTGGTTTCATCTGTCCACAGTATATTTTGCCAGTAGTGCTGTGGAACATCCAGGTGCTCTTTTGCAAACTTCAAACGTGCTGCAATATTCTTTTTGGACAGCAATGGCTTCCTCCGTGGTGTCCTCCCATGTACTCCATTCTTGTTTAATGTTTTCTTTATTGTAGATGTGTCAACAAAAATGTTAGCATGTGCCAGAGATTTCTGTAGGTCTTTAGCTGACACTCTGGGATTCTTCTTTACCTCATGCAGCATTCTGTGCTGTGCTCTTGCAGTCATTTTTACAGGACGACCGCGCCTAGGGAGAGTAGCAACAGTGCTAAACTTTCTCCATTTGTAGACAGTCTGTCTTACCGTGGACACATGAACATCAAGGCTTTTCGGAGATACTTTTGTAACCCTTTCCAGCTTCATGCAAGTCAACAATTCTTGATGGTAGGTCTTCTGAGAGCTCTTTTCTGCGAGGCATGGTTCACATCAGACAGTGCTTCTTGAAACCAGTAAACCCAAAACAGGTGTGTGTTTTTTAAGGGCAGGACAGCTGTCAGCAACACATCCAATATCATCACACTGATTGGAGTCAAGGTTGGCTCACTCCTGGCTCCAATTAGCTCTGGGAGAAGTCATTAAGCTAGGGCCTCACATACTTTTTCCTCCCTGCACTGTGAATGTTTACATGTTATGTGCAATTAAACCATGGCAACATCTAATGTTTGTGTAGTATTATGTTCAGCAGACTGTGCTCTTCTATTGTTGTGACTTAGATGACATTCAGAGCACATTTTATGCCCAATTCATGCAAAACTCCACGTAATCCCAAGGGGTTCACATACTTTTTCTTGCAACTGTACCTTTAGCTGTGTTTTCTTTCCTTATATGAATGAGTTGATCGTCCTCCACTAACAGGCTTATGACTGCTTTTGCTTGCTTGCTTTTTCTGTCCCATTCTTCCGGGTTGTCATTGGGTCTGTGTGTATCTAGTACCTGCCACAAGTCATCTTTGGATAACAGCATTTCAAGCTTAAACATCCATAGCTGGTAGTTGGTATTGTTGAGCTTTGCTATTGTAAACTTCATATCTGAAGCACTTGCCATCTTTCAGTGAATTGGATACAGCTCTTGTTTCCTCACACAGGATTTGGTAGGATTGTAAATGCAGCACTTGCTTGTAGTTTTCCTTTTTCCAGTGTCTGGAGCTGGGCCCATAACCTGTTGGTTATGTGTTAGAGAAGACACTGGTAGCTTGTGATGAGGCAGAACTTGGTTTACTTGTGTGGCTTAAGTTGAAAACACACAAAACATTTCAGCAAACTGTAACAGCAGACATCTTGGTTATGAAGAGAGAGAGAAAAAATAAAAGAACCAACAAGTTTTACAGATATGCACAACTGGTATAATACATAAGGGGGGATAATAAGGGGGATATGATCACCATGTATAATACATAAGGGGGGATATGATCTCCATGTATAATACATAAGGGGGGATATGATCACCATGTATAATACATAAGGGGGATATGATCTCCATGTATAATACATAAGGGGGGATATGATCTCCATGTAATAATACATAAGGGGGGGAGTATGATCTCCATGTATAAAACATAAGGGGGATATGATCTCCATGTATAAATACATAAGGGGGATATGATCTCCATGTATAGAAAACATAAGGGGGATATGATCCTCCATGTAAAATACATAAGGGGGGGATATGATCTCCATGTATAAATACATCAGTGGTTCATATAGTGAACTCTGTGTAGAGTTATTCACCCCTGAGATCATCACAGAGGACAAGGGGGCGCTCTTTACATCTGGAGGAAAAGAAATGTAATCTCCAAACACGGAAAGGTTTCTTCACAGTGAGAGCTGTGAAAATGTGGAATAGACTCCCTCAAGAGTTGGTTCTGGCCAGCTCAGTGGATTGCTGTAGGAAAGTCCTGGATTCTTTCTTGGATACACAGAATATAACTGGATATAACATTTATAGGGAAAGTTGATCCAGGGAATATCTGATTGCCTCTCGGGGCATCAGGAAGGAATTTTTACCCTGCAGGAGCAAATTGGATCATGCTTTGCTGGGTTTTTTTTGTCTTCCTCTGGATCAACTGTGGGTTTAGGATTATAACTTTGTTTTTTTTTTCTATGGTTGAACTGGATTTACTTTTGTCTTTTTTTCAGCCAGACTAACTATGTAACTATTCTTGTCCTCACAATATTTTTTCCCATTTAGATTTATTTTTAGTTCATAAAAATCTTTTGTAAGCACAAAAAAAATGAATTTTAAATTCCCATAAAGCTTCTACAAGGAGGACAATGAAGGAAAGAGTCCAGAAGTGTTTAAAAGTCCCTCCAGGATATTACTTCCCACATTACCTCATCTGAGAAAGCTTCATACAAAAGCTCACACGTTCTCCCACCATACGAAGCGAAGACTCAAAATGACTAATTGTTTTTAAACCAAAAAAGTCTGGAATGTTTTGGCTTCGCTACTAAAGGTAAAAGTGCAAAAAAAATCCCTAACTAATTACTCATCTGGGGACTCGACTCTAGAGTTCGGCAAGGGATTTCACTTGCAATTCTGTTTTTTTTTTGGCTGTTTTACACAAATTAGTCTCTGATAAACAAGCCTCCATGTATAGAAAACCGAAACATTCCTCGGCCAAATGGAACTTCCCACTATTGTTAGAGCGCAGAGAGAGGAGCTTTGCAAACCGATTTCCACTCCTGAAATCTTAACCACTGGTGAATAAGTTGCCTTTTGGCTCGTTTACACTTCAAAATTTGGCATTGGACACACTTTTTAACCAGTTGCCGCCTGGCCTATGGCCAGATGGCGGCCGGGGGAACACTTCGTCCCTCCGGGAGGATGCCATTTAGCGTCCTTCCTGGAACGTGCACTGCGCATGCCCGCAGGGCCGCGTTGTGGCAAGATCTGTCACCGCGGGCCATGTACCTCGGACACGGCAATGACAGATCTGTGTTCCGGCCCCCTTGCCAGTACCATGTGACCTGCTGTGACCAGGTCACATGACAGTTGTATACAATGGATGGCTTCCTTTCACGCCATCCATTGTATACCAGTGTGTCTAGCTGTGAATGGTCACTACAATCATATGCACAAACTGGGCCAATCACAGCCCATCTGTGTCATGTGATCAGCCATGGTCAATCACAGCTAATCACAACAAAAAAACCCTGAATGAATCATGTCATTCAGTTAAATGCTTGCTTATAGCAAAGAAATTCTTTGCTATAAGCAATCACATTGTGTAAAAAAAAAACACTGATCACTTCCCCAAAGTAGTACAATGTTACTATGGTAACATTATACTACTTTGGTCATAGTGAAATATGAAAAAAAAAATCTTTAAAAAAAGAGAAAAAATTAATAAAAAATAAAAAAATAATTGAAAACAAATTGAAAAACAAATTATATATATATTTTTTTTTTTTCGTACTGTCACCAGTCAGTGTCCCTGATCACCGCCATGCCAGTTATATGGTGACGCTGTACTGCACTGGTGACAGTATGTAAAAAAAAAATAGCGAAAAAAGTTTTTTAATTTCATGTTCTGAAAAATTCTGACAAAAAAAATTACAACTTCAAAAAACTTGCCATGCCTGTTATGAAATACGTCGGACTGTCTACTTTGCAAAAAAGGGGTCATTTAGGGGATATCTGTACTGTTCTGACATTTGGGGGGATATCTGTACTGTCCTGACATTTGGGGGATATCTGTACTGTCCTGACATTTGGGGGATATCTGTACTGACATTTGGGGGATATCTGTACTGTTCTTTGGGGGATATCTGTACTGTCCTTACATTTGGGGGGGATATCTTGTACTGTCCTGACATTTTCTGTACATGACATTTTGGGGATATCTGTACTGTCCGTGTCTGACTGATTTTGGGGGGCCTCAAGAAATTGACATTGGGGGGCTGTCCTGACAGTACTGTTTCATTTTGGGATTGACTGTCAATTTTTCAGATACAGGGGAAACCATTCGAAAAATTGACAGATATCTGTACTGGTGCAAAACTGTCCTTACATTTATCTGTGCAGTCCTGCAGCAACCTTGACAAATCTGTACACGTGAAACTAATTAGATATGAGATAGATCATCAGTTACATGTAAAACGCGAAAAATTAGAAAGCAAGATTTAGTAATACAACAAGGTGAAAACTAATAGCCGTGATTGTCATAATACAACTTTTGTGATGATTATGGCGTTACAGCTCATGAAAACCCCAAATCCACACAATCTCACAAAATTAGAATATTCCATGCAATCAATAAAACAAGGATTGTACATAGAACAATATCGGACCTCTGAAAAGTAGAATCATGCATATGTACTCAGTACTTGGTTTGGGCCCCTTTTGCAGCAATTACTGCCTCAATGCGGCGTGGCATGGAAGCTATCAGCCTGTGGCACTGCTGAGGTGTTATGGAAGACCAGGATGCTTCAATAGCGGCCTTCAGCTCTTCTGCATTGTTTGGTCTCATGTCTCTCATCTTTCTCTTGGCAATGCCCCATAGATTCTCTATGGGGTTCAGGTCAGGCGAGTTTGCTGGCCAATCAAGCACAGTAATCCCACGGTCATTGAACCAGGTTTTGGTGCTTTTGGCAGTGTGGGCAGGTGCCAAGTCCTGCTGGAAAATGAAGTCAGCATCCCCATAAAGCTCGTCTGCGGAAGGAAGCATGAAGTGCTCCAAAATCTCCTGGTAGACGGCTGTTGTTGACCTGGACTTAATGAAGCACAGTGGACCAACACCAGCAGATGACATGGCTCCCCCAAATCAACACAGACTGTGGAAACTTCACACTGGATTTCAAGCATCTTGCAGTGTGTGCCTCTCCATTCTTCCTCCATACTCGGGGTCCTTTGGCCTCTCCATTCTTCCTCCATTCTTCCTCCATACTCAGGGGGTCTCCATTTGGGCCTCCATTACTCTCCATTCTTCCTCCATACTCAGGGTCCTTGGGCCTCCTCCATTCTTCCTCCATACTCTGGGGTCATTGGCCTCTCCATTCTTCCTCCATACTCGGGGTCCTTGGTTTCCAAATCAGATGCAAAGTTGCTCTCATCAGAAAAGAGGACTTTGGACCACTGAGCAACAGACCAGGCCTGTTTTTCTTTAGCCCACGTAAGACGCTTCTGACATTGTTTGTTGTTCAGGAGCAGCTTGACAAGAGGAATACGACATTTGAAGCCCATGTCCAGGATCCGTCTGTGTGTGGTGGCTCTTGATGCACTGACTCCAGCCTCAGTCCACTCCTTGTGAAAGTCCCCAACACTTTTTTGAATGGCCTTTTCCTGACAATCCTCTCCAGGCTGTGGTCATCCCTGCTGCTTGTGCACCTTTTTCTTTCACACTTTTCCCTTCCACATAACTTTCTATTAATGTGCTTTGATACAGCACTTTGGGAACATCCAACTGCAATTACCTTTTGAGGCTTTCCCTCCTTATGGAGGGTGTCAATGATGGTTTTCTGCACAACTGTCAGGCAGTTCTTTCCCATGATTGTGATTCCTACTGAACCAGACTGAGAGACCATTTAAAGGCTCAGGAACCCTTTGCAGGTGTTATGGCTTAATTAGGGGATTAGAGTGGGACACTTTGAGCCGAGAATATTCCACCTTTTCACAATATTCTCATTTTCTGAGATTGTGGATTTGGGGTTTTTCATGAGCTGTAAGCCATAATCATCACAATGATGACAAATCACGGCTTGAACTATCTTGCTTTGCATGTAATGAGTCTATCTCATATATTAGTTTCACCTTTTAAGTTGCTGCACTGAAATAAATAACGTTTGCACAATATTCTAATTTTTCGAGTTTCACCTGTATATCCCATAGTTTGTGAACTCTATAACTTTCCTGCAGACTAAATAATAAATACTAATTTGGGTTATTCTCACCAAAGACATGTAGCAGAATACATCTCGGCCTAAATTTATGAAGAACAATTATTTATTTGCAAACTTTTATGACAGAAACAAAGAAAAACTTTTTTTTTTCTTTCAAAATGTTTGGTCTTTTTTTGTTAATTTAGCAAAAAAATAAAAACTCCAGTGGTGATTAAATACCACCAAAAGAAAGCTGTAGTTGTGTGAACAAAATGATAAAATTTTAGTTTGGGTACAGTGTTGCATGACCGCGCAATTGTCATTTTCAAAGTGAGAGAGCGCTGAAACCTGAAAATTGGCATGGCAGGAAGGGGGTGAAAGTGCCCGGGACTGAAGTAGTTAAAGCACTCTGAATGCCAATCAAAGCCCCTCTACCTAGATAAAATGGTCACATTAACCCCTTCTCTACAGGGCACTTTCACCCCCTTCCTGCCCAGGCCAATTTTCAGCTTTCAGTGCTGTTGCACTTTGAATGACAATTGTGCGGTCATGCAACAGTGTACCCATATGAAATTTTTATAATTTGTTTGAGACAGATAGAGCTTTCTTTTGGTGGTATTTAACCACTAGGGGACCGCCCACAGTATATATACTGTGGCAAAGCGGCCCCTGTAGGCAGGATCACGTATATAAACGTGATCCTTGTTTACATGCTAGGGGCACGTGCGAGGCGCATGACCGCCCTGCTCACGGCACCGATCGCGGCCCGCGGGAGTCAATCATCAGGTCCCGGGCAGTGATTACCTGCCGGGTCCCGGCGATTGCCGGCAAACAGTAACACAGAGCACAGCTGCATTGTTTTCAATGCAGCTCTGCTCCCTGCTAACTGTCCAGGAGAGCAGAGATTCGCTTTCCATTCCAGGACAGTGTGCAACAGTGAATTACAACCCCCCCCCCACTAGTAAAACACTCCCCTCACACAGTTAATCCTTTGATTGCCTAAAAATTTTAACCCCTTCCTCCCCAGTGCCATTAGTACAGTGTCAGTGTTTTTGCACTGATCACTGTATTGGTGTCACTGGGGATGTCGGTGACTCCAAGTCAGTTCCCCCCCAGTGTCAGAATGTACGCCGCAGTCCCGCCATAGGTCGCTGATCGCCACCATAAGTTGCTGATTGCCGCTATTATTAGTATACAAAAAAAGTCCAGTATCTATGCCACCATTTGTAGACGCTATAACTTTCACGAAAACCAATTCATTTACACGTATTGAGATTTTTTTTTTTTTTTAGCAAAGACATGGAGCAGAATACATTTTGGCAGAAATTGATGATGAAATTTGATTTTTAAATTTTTTACTGGACATGTTTTATAGCAAAAAGTCCAAAATGTTATTTTCTCAACATTATCGGGGGTTTTTTTTATAGCGCAAAAAATAAAAACTGCACAGGCGATCAAATACCACCAAAAGAAAGCCCAATTCATGGGGAAAAAAATTATGTAAATATCATTTTGATGCAGCGTTGCATGACCCGCGCAGTTGTCAGTTAAAATGACACAGCGCCATAACACAAACCGCTTCTGTAACTGCTTTCTGACCGCCCTATAGCAGACATACTGCTACATTGTGGCACAGGTGTGCAAAATCACATATATATACAGTTGCAAGAAAAAGTATGTGAACCCCTTGGGATTACGTGGAGTTTTGCATGAATTGGGCATAAAATGTGCTCTGAACGTCATCTAAGTCACAACAATAGAAGAACACAGTCTGCTGAACATAGTACTACACAAACATTAGATGTTGCCATGGTTTAATTGCACATAACTTGTAAACATTCACAGTGCAGGGAGGAAAAAGTATGTGAGGCCCTAGCTTAATGACTTCTCCCAGAGCTAATTGGAGCAAGGAGTGAGCCAACCTTGACTCCAATCAGTGTGATGATATTGGATGTGTTGCTGACAGCTGTCCTGCCCTTAAAAAACACACACCTGTTTTGGGTTTACTGGTTTCAAGAAGCACTGTCTGATGTGAACCATGCCTCGCAGAAAAGAGCTCTCAGAAGACCTACAATCAAGAATTGTTGACTTGCATGAAGCTGGAAAGGGTTACAAAAGTATCTCCAAAAGCCTTGATGTTCATGTGTCCATGGTAAGACAGACTGTCTACAAATGGAGAAAGTTTAGCACTGTTGCTACTCTCCCTAGGCGTGGTCGTCCTGTAAAAATGACTGCAAGAGCACAGCGCAGAATGCTGCATGAGGTAAACAAGAATCCCAGAGTGTCAGCTAAAGACCTACAGAAATCTCTGGCACATGCTAACATTTTTGTTGACACATCTACAATAAGGAAAACATTAAACAAGAATGGAGTACATGGGAGGACACCACGGAGGAAGCCATTGCTGTCCAAAAAGAATATTGCAGCACGTTTGAAGTTTGCAAAAGAGCACCTGGATGTTCCACAGCACTACTGGCAAAATATACTGTGGACAGATGAAACCAAGATTGAGTTGTTTGGGAAGAACACACAACACTATGTGTGGAGAAAAAAAGGCACAGCACACCAACATCAAAACCTCATCCCCACTGTAAAACATGGCGGAGGGAGCATCATGGTTTGGGCTGCTTTGCTGCCTCAGGGCCTGGACGGATTGTTGTCATTGATGGGAAAATGAATTCCAGAGTTTATCAAGACATTTTGCAGGAAAACGTACGACAATCTGTCCGCCAACTGAAGCTCCGCAGAGGATGGGTGATGCAACAGGACAATGACCCAAAGCATACAAGTAATTCAACAAAACAATGGCTGCAACAGCACAGAATACGCCTTCTGGAGTGGCCCAGTCAGAGTCCTGACCTCAACCCGATTAAAATGCTGTGGCATGACCTTAAGAGAGCGATTCACACCAGACATCCCAAGAATATTGCTACACTGAAACAGTTTTGTGAAGAGGAGTGGTCCAAAATGACTCCAGATCGTTGTGCAGGTCTGATCTGCAACTACAGGAAATGTTTGGTTGAGGTTATTGCTGCCAAAGGAGGGTCAACCAGTTATTAAGTCCAAAGGTTCACATACTTTTTCCTCCCTGCACTGTGAATGTTTACATGTTATGTGCAATTAAACCATGGCAACATCTAATGTTTGTGTAGTATTATGTTCAGCAGACTGTGTTCTTCTATTGTTGTGACTTAGATGACGTTCAGAGCACATTTTATGCCCAATTTATGCAAAACTCCACGTAATCCCAAGGGG